GTTGTTTGGTGCCTTGCCCATATATGGAAAAATCATGGAAACTTTGTATTTGTTAGTAAAAGATTATATGAAGGCGATGCCATATCCCCTTACAAAAGCGCCATCTATGAGATCGACCGAGAGTTCAATCCTCGAATATCAAAAATAAACGAAGTTCCCCAAGGCGGTTAGTTGCAAAGCTATTTTTATCAAGACCATTACTGAGTTGGTGAATCAAATACACTCTACTAATGATGCACTTGAACGTGTAGGGGATTTCAATCCTCACACAATCCCCATACAGAGAACATGAATTGTTTGTATTATTAAATAAACTGAAAAATTATTAGACCTAGATGATATATTGGTACCGTTTTCTCCCGTGGGTTTACCAATAATTGACTACACTGAACAATAATCATACTTACCTTTATTTCACTTTGAATACAACAAACACCTCAACTATTATTCGAATGTCTGTCGCCTTACTGGATAGTTTTGCGTACCGCACTGTAACCTCCACTTGACTGTTTTGATGGGCGACATTCGCGCGCTCTTAGCTACGTCACAATTGACTTATAGCTACCAGTGGCGGCCGGCGTTATTTTTTTAGAGCATGATTTACAACAATATCTATACTCATATAGATGTCATTTACAGTAGGTGGTTTTTCCAAATCATATAAAAATTGGGAAAGTAATCCCATTTTTATATGAGGTCCGTTGGAGTCGTAAACTCGACATCCATCTCCACTGTAGACTCGCAAATTCGATATCCACCTCCACTGTAGACTCGCTCCTGAATTAAATTTACAGGGAGGTCAGTTGGAGTCGAAAACTCGACATCCATCTCCTCTGTAGACTCGCTCCTGAACTAAATTTACAGGGAGGTCCGCTAGAATAGTAAGTGGATATCAATTTAATTCAATAACTATTTATTCATCATCAGATAATACATAAGTTATTCCTATTCACAGAGTGGAGAACATATAATTCATGGTGAACAATGTGATCTTAACAAATACTAATCACAATGTAAGGTTCTTGGGAATCATTCTAGACAAGTTCCTCAATTGGAAAACCCACTGTTAATAATTAACCTCAAAACTCGGCTCGTTAGAAATTCTCTTTATTAACTCAAGAACAATTACAATAAAGAGTCAGCTGCTCAATATATATTTTGCTCAAGTAAAATCAAAACTCAGATATGGTGTTTGTTTCTGGGGTGGACCTACCTCAGTAGGTACACAAGCATATACAGAGGTGCATAGTAAATTGTTCGAACAGAACATTGGTTAATATTTTTGAACTGTGTATGTATTGTGTTCAAAAATAACTCATGTTATAAATCAAACTCTCAACTAGGTTAAGAATTACGTCATGTGGACCGGAATAATTAGTCCAAAGATACATAAACACATTCGAGATCATTTAAAGGCCTTGAATAGCTTTTCTGTGTTCGAAAACTCATGGAAATATATTTTTATACATCACAGAAATTCTTCAAATAACTAACATTCTTTAAGTTTTAGATTATGAGAATGTCTTCCACTTTTCTTTGCAAATCATAAGATCATTCGTTTTTTGGTAAAGAAAGGTTTTGGCTTTCTACTTCTCCATCTTTATAAAATAATGTGGGAATCTTCCAGTGAAAGGAAGAGAGATAGAGAAAGTCGAAACCTATCTTTCCAAAAAATTTATCTCTCCTAAAAATTTAGATTAGTTTCTATTTTTATACAGTAATTTTTTTACATTGTTGAAATGATAAAAAAAAACAAAATTATTTTCAGCTTAGAAATAGATTAATTTAATCAAAAAATATTTTACACTCTTTTGGTATCAGCCAGAACTCTTACAATGCACCCGACTCCACCAACGTTATATATTTTTTCATGCCAGAGCAGTAATTGTCCGCTACTTCCTTCGGAGGGATATTCAAAGCCTTTATACACATATTTCATCAAGACATCCAAGTAATCCATGTTCAGTGAATCTATAATTTCATCTATCTGAGAAGGTTTCACTGCCAGGAGAACCTTGAGTGCCAAATTGAGGGAACTCTCCTGAAACATAACAATAGTTAAGTTTAAGTAACCAATTTGTGTAACAAATGTTCGTACCTTAATTTGTTGGTTCTTTATGCTCGTTGGAGCACAATTCAATACTACTTTTAAAGCATCCAACATTTTTCCTGTGTTTTGAAGTTAAGGAATTATTGTTTTCATCTGTGAATCTTCAGTCTATATTTTTTCAACAAATTTCTGTACGCAGGAGACACCAAAGAAAGTCTCATCTCTGAGAGGAATCTGCAATAGAATGCATACTCCCAGAATCAATCTAGCTGGTAGTATAGTCGAAGTAACCGATATAGTAATTCTTAAAGCTATCGGCGAACTCAAAGGTCAAAAAAAACAAAACAAAGAAATAATGCCGCTACGGATTAGTCCACGTGGACTGAAGAACTGGTGGTTCGTGTTGGATAATTTTTACTAACCGAGTTTTATGATTGGCTGAAGAGTCATAAAATTAAATTTGAAGTCATGTTACGGTGACCAATAGAATGTNACTCTGTTATTTGAATCCCTACTTTTCCACTCATCTATATAAACGAAATATTTATAATACAGTTATTGTAATTCTTATATAATCAGAAATGATTATTGAATAACAAAATTAGTTAGCTCCCTAACTATTTTATTAAACGGGAACTGCCGGAAGGTAGGGTGCACTATATCGTTTACTTGAACTATACAGATATTGGCCAGCAGACTACAAGAGATCCACAAGGAGGAGAACCCTTAACAACCCTTCTTTACATCAAAAGACTGCCAGAAAGGCAGTCCCAAGAAAGCCAAGTTACCAAATGAGAACGAGTGCAAGATATTCCTTTACTGTATGATGTGTGAATATGGCACGTCCTACATTTATGTAACGAAACAGCGGTTGAAGGTTCAGATTGGTAAGCACACAAAGACAATGAAGATAAATTAGCAAGTCAGGAATAGCATAGCATGCTTGTACTGGTAGAATATCAAGTACGATGTAGTTTATCAAACTCCA